CGAGTTCCCCCTAAAGCCTTTTCCTTTGCTTTGTCCACCATTGATTTTTGGAAAAGAAATCCCTGTATTTGCATTTGTGTTATTTGAAGAAGCCAGATCATCTCACACTCATCCATTAAAAAAAAAAAAACAACAACACACCTCTATTCTCTCCCTCATCACCAGATGAGCAATGAGAAATGGTTAATCAGTGCCCATTGTAGTATTCCTGGTGTGAAAGAGTCTCCAGAAATGCAAACTGTTCTGTTTTTGGCTTTGGGAGAAATAAGCTGCAGTTGCAGAAGGGCCGTAGCCAGGTGGGCTGCAGGTTGGCAATGCCTCCTGCAGACAAACCCAACACAGGGGCTGGGAGGGCCTCAGCTCTCTGCGCTGCCCAAGGACTCCCATTCCTATGTGATTTATCAGTGGCACCAAGAAGCAGCGGAAAGGTATTAAAACAAGGTGATGTATTTTATGCAGTTTTAGTTTTCAAAGCAGGGTTTGTAAATTCTCACAGCAGAGCAGCAACAGAACTCACTCAGCTTCAGAACAAAAAGCCCCAAACGCCAACCAGCCTGCATTACAGAAGGAGATTATGAAAATGCTGAAGAGTTTCGTAAATGTGGAACAGTGACGATACCTGCAGATGGCACTGAGCTGCTGATGGCACTGAGCTGCTGATGGCACTGAACTGCCTGCACCCTGCTTTGCAGAGTTCTTCCTCACTGTGCAGCAGAGCAGTGCCCTGCAAAGCAGCACCACGCACCACTCCAGCACCAAAGATGCCTGGTGGTCCCAGAGAGAAAGCAGCAGGCCCTGTGCATCAGCACACACTGATGCAAAGCCAAAGCAGGAGCAGCCCTGCTGCCAGCACAGGGGCTGTGTTCATGCACAACACCACTTAGACATTTTTTGCATGGTGGGAAGCAACGACCCCCCTGATTGCTCTGATCCCTGCTGCTTGCAAAGAGAGCACGGACGCATCCAGGCATGGAGCAATGCACAGCACTCTGCCATGCTGCACTGAGCAGCACAGCATGCAGTGCAGCACAGCACGGAGGGCAGAGCTGCGTGGCTCCTGCTAACACCATCACTTCACATGTGCTTATTATATTTCTAATAATAGAGGAGCTCACCCAACATCCTGTACAACAGGGGGTTTGAGCTGATTAATTTACGGCTTTGGAAGTCGTGGGTGTTCCATTTCATCCCATTCTGGAGTTTCTGACAAGCTGCTCTGGGTGCTGCAGATCCAGCCTCAGAGCCTTTCCCATTTGCTTTATGTAATATTGAAACCAGTGTGCTCTGAATATTTGTGGGTCTGTAGCCGTGCCCTTTACGACAGCCTTAAATACCCACGTCTCACTTTTGCCACAAGTCCACCCCACTGGTTTTAAACAGCTGGATCAAACCCAGGAGCACTTTCAAGTTCACACAGCAGCTCTCTGCTTCTCCTGCATTGGTATCGCCTTCCACATGCAGCTCCATTGCACCCAGGCCCATGGGCAGGTATGTGCTCTGACACAGATCATGCATGTGATCTACAGGTGGAGAGCCTGACAGCCAGGCACATCTCCCATGGGTGCATGGAGGCGCAAAGCCATCAGGCACTGCACAACAGGCCAGCTGTAATATTGAGGATATTCATCTCCAGCCATTCCTGGTTAATGACACAAAGCAAACTGTCAAGAAAAATGGGAACATGACAGTAAAAAGAACAACAAATGAAATCCTAATGCAATTAGAGAGCAATTAGGGATCTGTCCTCTGGGAGCATTTTGGAACTCGGGGTCTTTCTCAAAATCTGATCTCTCTGCAACTTTCTTCCTTTCTAATTAATAAAACACAACACGAGTGTCACAGCTCCCCCCAGCCCCCACAAAATGCCATCTTCCTGCTCTGCAGGAGCAGATGGTGGTGCAGGTAGAAGTGTTCACACCTCTGAGCACGAGGGAAACGCAACTGTCAGCAGAATGAGGAGCAAAGGCAGTGGGAACAGAAATCTCTCCCTGCAGCTGCTGCAAGGTGACCAAGGATCACACAGACCCAGACATTCTCCTGCAAGGGCCAGGTGAGAGGCATGAGCAGAGAGCAGAGCATGAGTGACCGCAGATAAAACGTATTTCTCCTATGCACGACTTCTATAAAGGCCACAATCCATACAAGTATTTATTTAATTCCTCTTGACTTTTTAAACTGCCTAGAAATAAGCACCCTCAAATTGCTCCAGTGTGCTGCAAAAGGAGCAGGACGGCCTTTGGGTATCGGTCTCTGCTCCATCCTGGCATGGGGGACTTCCAGCATCCCCAGTGCCACACAACTGGCAAGTCTGGAGAGAGCAATCTGCATGTCCTTCATCTGGGGACAAGGGACACTGAGCTTGGTGTCCCCAAGAAATCACAACAGAACTGACAGAAAGGGGCAAAGATGCAGCATCCCCCCGAGCCTGCATCTCTCCAGGCTCATCCACAGGCTGCCTGAAGGTCAAAGCTGCTGAACTAACACAGCAACACCTGGCTCTGCTAAACCTCCCTCAGCAGATGCAAATAAAGTCAATCCCACTGCAGAGGTGGCAGCGTAGCATGAGGGGAAACCTTTCCTTTGTTTCCTGAAGCTGCTGCTGTTCCCAGGATGGCTCATTCCACACCACGCAGCTCCTGCCAGCAAAGGGCATTTTGCACAAGTTGTAAGGAATCACTGAACTTCCATATGGTGCCATCAGGAAGGCAACTGCCTCTGCACACAGCACCGTGCAACGGAGAGAGAGATGGATCCCCTGAAATGTATTCATTTCTGTACCCAAATCCACCTTTGGGAGCATCTGCACCCAGGTTTTGGCCTAGAAATTGGCCCAGTTCTGATCTCTCCATGTGGTTCTGGGTTTCACTGTGCACCTCGGGAGTTTAACCCAGATGTGGCACAGCACTCAGACAAAACCTGGCAGTGCTGGCCTCTCTGTGCTCCTCAGTCCCAAAGCAGAAGGAAGGTAAAACCCACAACGAGACCAGCTTGGCTACCAATGCTCCCAAGGAAATCTCTGTGCATGGAGTGCTGTGCTGGTACCAGAGCGAGGTGTCGCATCAGCAGTGATCAGCAGCTGCAATAAACCCACTGCAAATGGGTATCAACAGGCAGGTATCAGCAAAACATCTCCCTGCACAGAGGAAACCTTTTCCAGAATGGTTAGTGGTCAGTCAGCAACGATGGTAAGAAAACCTGTTGGGTGGATGTGCTCTGCAGCACACCTGAGGAAGCAGAGGTGCAGCACTACAGCTCTTCTGGGATCCCCGTGGCTCCAGCACAGCAGGAAGAGCAGAGCAGAAGAGTGCAGGAAAACTCGAGGGAGGATTGAGAGGAAAGCTACAACAGAGCAGCACAGAGCAAAGCGAAGTGACTTCTGAAAACATACACACCCAAGTCGGGCAGTTAGAGATAGAAGAGCTAAACTGTTATACAGGAGCAAGGATTAATTACTTGGGGTGACTCAGAAGTGACTAAGACTGATCAGAAGAAATCAATTTGGGGGGAGGTAGAAAATCAAGTCGTGTTTTGGGCAACATCCACCCCAGGGAGAGGGATGCAGAAGGCAGCAGGGCAGCTGCAGGGACACCAAGAACAAGAGCTTTCTGACTGAAGGGTTTTTTGCTCTGGGGGGCAGAGAGCTCCGCTCTCACCGCTTCTGATCAAATACTGGGGGAAGACCCATTTTCCAGTTTCACCCTAAAAAGCTCCTGCACTTCCCTTCCCTCCTGTCCCTTCCTATGGAAGATGAGTCACTGTCTAGCAACCTTTATCAAAATACCTCTTACGGAATTGTCTATTGCAGCAGCAGGGAGAGCAGAAGGAGACCCCCCACTCACCGCCCCTTTTCCCTGCACTGAACCCCTCCTGCCCTGCACCCCGTGGCTCAGAGCTGCTTATGTGTTTGCACAAGCACAAACACAGCACGTGCTTGTGTGAGAGCCAACGGCACAACCTGCAGAAAATGCAAACCGGGGATTTTTAACTGCCTACTCCAGGCTTTGCAAATCTTGTTCTGCACTCAGTCATGCACGCTAAGGTCATTCCAGTACTATGGGATGAAAAAGGAGCATGTGGCCGCCTGAAGGGCAGCACTAGGGCACGTTCCTGGTCAGGTGCTACCTACCAGTCCATGGATAGGGATCACCAACAATTCATACGTCCCAGGAGTCATGAGAGGAGAGCTTTCAGGCAGCTCAAATGGCAGTGCTCATGGTGCATGAGGACAGCTGTTCTGAGGCTCAGACCTGCAGACAGCTCCAATGCAACACGTGGGGTCAGCTGACCCCAGGAGCACATCGAGCCCCCCCTGCCAGCAGCTGCTTCAAGTTTGCTGCTGCTTTTCCTGCAGGTTCTTCAACAGTGCCCGGCTCAGGGCTGCCCAGGAGCGGCCGTCCTGCTGCTCAGCTACCTCCCCAAAACCTGCTTTTGCTCTCAGAGCACTGCTGGCCTGGGAAGTTCTCCAAACTTTAAGAACAGCAGAGGTAATATGTTGGATTCCTGCATCTGCAGACATCGAGTCTGCAGTCAAAGGAGCTTGTTTTTAGGGCTGTGCTGGGGAAAAGCCTGCACAAAGCACCCCTCATTTCTGCTGACCAACCAATGCAGGACAAAGTCCCCACCGAGGCACCAAGTCGACTCTGGTCACCTCTGAACAGGTGGATGTTGCACTCCATAGCACCACTGGAGAGCATCCTGGCACCCGACAGGCTCTGGGTCACACACAATGCATGTCGGCCACTTCCAACCTCTGGCACAGCATGAGGGAAGCAAGCATTGCCAGCGGGCCCTGCATGCAGGCTATGCCATAGCAGCAGCACCAAAACAGCCCCAGCTGCCCCGTACACCTGGCACTGCATCCCAGCATCACCGCCCATCCCTCCCACTGCCTTCAGACGGGCGCTGTCACTGCACACAGCTCATTTCCCCATAAACTTTCCTCCAACTCTAAGCAGCAATCGAGCAACAAGCAGCACAAGAGCCGAGAGGAGGGGCAGTACCTTCGCGTCTCCGATGTGCAGAGGGTAACGGCCGCTCCTGCGGTGCTGCTGGGATAGGAGCGCGTCGGAGCCGCAGTCCCGGCTTTCCTCTCCCCACGAACAGATCTCTCAGTCGCCCAGACCAACTGTGCTGGAAAGGCACTCGGTTTCATCTGCTGGAGCTCCAGCTCCACCCCTAGCAGCAGCGATTGGCTCCGTGGTGCTCTGCAAGGCTGCGCTGGCCCCGGCAGCCTCCCTTCGGCTCCAGCTCCTGAGACCATCGGGAGCTTCCCTGAGCAGTAAGCAGAGGAGAGCAAGGGGATTGGGTTCATCCTCAGACCAACAGCTGACACGGGTTCCTTCAGGCAGGGCCCACACGATGCAGAAGCCAAGGAGCATTTGCTCGAGGCCCGCAGCAGATGAGAGCGCGGCAACAAATGGGGGATGGAGAAACAAAGGGGATGCAGAGACCTGCAAACCACATGCAATGAGGGGACAACACCTACTGCAGCACCATGCACACAAGTCTGGGAGTCTGTAATGCACAGCCAGGTTTACACTGAACAGAGCTTTCTGAACCAGGCGATCTGGAAAGCAGAGCAGGCATTCATTCTTTTGTGAGGAGCATCTTCCAGGCACGCCCAGCTCACAGCTCAGGCTGAAAAACCTGGGCACCACAGCAAACACAGGCACAACCTCCTGCATCTTTCCTCTGACAGCACAAAGCCTCAGAGACGCCGTCTCTCCTCCCTCCATTCTGCTCCTAACAAAAAAAAAAAAAAGATGCTGAGGACTGGCTGGGTTCCACCGAGTGTTTCTGTCCCCGTTTGGCAGTCTTGGCAGCACCACCTGTGCCTGCACATGAGTCTCAGCTGAAGCAGCTGCAACAGGGGCCAGGAGCTGCATTTTGCCCTGCTGGGACCTGCAGGCCATGCCTGGTGGGTGAGCAGCAGCGCTGGATGCTCCCAGCCCCTTCCTGCAGCTCCGTCTGACTGAGCCCCACCTGTTTGGCTTGGGAGAGGATCAGAGAGCCCAGGATAGTCCTCAAAACAGCTGCTTATCCCTCTGCCTTCTCAGCAGCTCATAAATATTCTCTTTGATGCTGTGATAATCCCTTTTGTGTTTCGTAGGCCAATTAATTTGGAGACTTAGAAAACGCACATAAAAAAATATCAGAAATCTGTTACTATTTTGATTTATATTTAAAACCAGATCTTCTCTGGTGCACAACAACATTACAGTGACACTCAGAGAGCACAGTGATTCTCATTTCTACACGAAGTGCCTCAAGAAGCTAAAAGCACCTTCTGCTGGCACATTAGGATGGGATCACTCGCAAAGGTGGAGCAGAGGTGTTCCAAACCAATGGATTTGGGTTGTGCAAGAATCAGGCTGAGCCACGCTGCTGCATTTCTGCTGCTGGGTGTCTGGAACATTCACTTCAGTGTCTTTAAATCACCTAGAGGTCCTCAGCACCATTTTTTTTTTCCATTCTGTCTGACAGTAACACTTTTACAAAGTGTTTGAATGCTTGCTGATCCCGCCTGGCTCTTTAGCTGCAAATGCTCCTCAGCATTGTTAAGCTTTAGAAAGTAAGCATGCTTAGTTTTTAAGCCATGTATCTAAGCATCCAAATATGACACAAACTCCTCAGAACTGCCACCTGCTGAGAGGTGCAGGTCAGACACTGCTTGCAATGATGCAGCTGCCATTCAGTGAAGGGAGATTCCTTAAATCTCTTCCTTACTTCCAGCCCCCCTAACCCATTCCTCCAACAAAGCTGCCTCCAAGCAGAATTCCCTTTGCAGATGATAACAACGAATGTGAGTGATGCTGCACTGCCTTCTAGGTGCCAGCCAAAGAGGCAGAGCTCTCCATAGCTCTCCCTGATAGGCTTGGACAGTCCTGGCTCAGACCAAAGCACAGCACTGGAAAATTCAGTTTTTCTCCATCCCAGTGCACTGCCAGGACTGAGGAATGTGTTTACTGGCCCTGAACTGGACTAATTACAGAACAACCTGAAATGCCTCAAAATACGGAGCAGGAAAACAACGGCTGTGACTGATTAATCGCAGTAGTGAAGCTGAAGGGTTTGATCATTCCCAAAAACACTTTAATATCTCATTCTCCAAAGAGGGAGAGGCTACTGCAGGCACAGAACAAAGCAGAGCTCTGGCCGGGTTCTCTTCCCCCCAGTGGCTCCAAGCAGACTGCGGTGCCTGCAGCAAGAGGAGAGCACAACACTGCATGAGCAAGCACCAGGGCACTTTGCCCCTCGGAGCAGCCCATCTGGCCAGAGCCAGCCCATCCCTTCATCATGAGATGATCCCAGTGGGCATCATCTCCTTGTTCCCATTTCTCCTTGCTGCACACTTAAAGCAGCACCCTGCTGGTGCCACTGAATGGTGATGGGTCGGACATGTGTCCACTGCTCCATAGGCACCAGGACCCAGCAGCACCCAGCACAGCAGGGCACGTGCAGAGATCCCAACTGCAAGGCACATCTGACACTGCCAGGCTCGAGGTACAAAGCTCCCTTTGCTCACAGAGAGAAGCCAACAACCTCACAGGTGAATAACATCATTTCCCTTCAAATCATCCTGCCCAGAGGATCTCACCCTTCCTCCTGCATGCATTACAACCATGAGGATATGGAATCCTCAGACTCCTTGCAAACACTCCCCTCCTCTAGGACAAGATCCTTGCTCTGAGGAACCCTCTGAGCAGATCTTGTGCACACAGAGACCAAAGGTGCAGAGCACAGCTGACCTGGAATCCCAGCTCAGGGCCGTTAGCACTGCAGTGATCAAATTTTGGGTACCCGACGTCCTCTGCTCTCAGTGCCACTGCCAGACTTTGACCTGCCAAAAAGCAGAAACCAGATTTTTCCTAAAGAAACCCCAGGTCTGACTGCCTGCTGCCAGTGCAGCACTCTGTGGTGACATTCAGCTCCCAAGGCAGCACACAGCCCAGTGAATCCTTAGAAAAATCTCCAGAAATAGATTTTTGTCGCACTTATAAGCACAGCCTCCTGTTGCTTTCATAGAATCACAACATAGCCCAGGTTGGAAGGGACCTCAAGGATCACGGAGCTCCAACCCCCTGCCGCACGCAGGGCCACCAACCTCCACATTTCACACCAGCCCAGGCTGCCCAGGGCCCCATCCAACCTGGCCTTGAACACCTCCAGGGATGGACGGGGCATCGCAGCCTCTCTGGCAGCTGTTCCAGCACCTCTCCGCTCTCACAGCAAAGAACTTCCCCTGACATCCAACCTCAATCTGCCCTCCCTCAACTCCAAACCATTTCCCCTTGTCCTGCTGTCATCTCCCCTTTCCAAGAGTTGATTCCCCTCCTGTTTGTAGGCTCTCTTTAGGTACAGAAGGCTGTAATGAGATCACCCTACAGCCTTCTTTTCTGCAGGCTGAACAAGCCCAGCTCCCTCAGCCTGTCTTTGTGGTGGAGGTGCTGCAGCCTCTGCTCATCTCTGTGGCTCCTCTGGACCCTCTCCAACAGCTCCCTGTCCTTCTTGTCCTGGGGGCTCCAGCCCTGGACGCAGTGCTGCAGATGGGGCCTCACAGGAGCAGAGCAGAGGGGGACGATCGCCTCCCTGTCCTTGCTGGCCACCCCTTTGCTGATGGTCTTTCTGCCCAGGAGAACAAAACCAACCCATTGTTCTGCTTCTCCTTCACACTGGGACTGCACATCAGCATTATGGCAACCAAGCAGACATAACTCACAGCACCTCATAGCCACACCATCAATCTGTCCCCAATGCCACATCCCCCACAGCTCATTTCTTCCCCCTTTCCCCAACGGTGAAAAAAATAAAAAGAAACCATCTCTTTTCAAAGTCATTTTGTTCATAAGCAACAGTGCCCAGATGAAGGGGCGAGGCAGAGGCACTAGATGGAAGGGAAACAGCCAAAGTAGCAGCACCTGTTTTGTTTTATTTCAGAAGACCCAGCTCACAGCGCACTCACAGCTCAATGCCTGCACAGCAGAGCGTGTCAAAGGACACTGCACAGCCTGCCTGAGCACATCACAGCCAGGGCCAGCGAGGTGTGGGTCACCTTGTCAGGCAGAGGGGGTACATCTGAAAGTAGATTTATGCTGCACTTTAAAAATCTCTGGTATTGCAGTGAAACAATTGAGGTGTGGGAATGCTCTGCTGTCTGGGGAACTCAGAGCAAAGGCTGGAGAGAAGATAGATGGTGCTCCGCCATGCATTGCAGCAACATCTGCTGCTCTTCTCAGTGCTCACTGCTTACCTTCCCTTCTTTGGGCTGTTCTGTATTGTCCACGCTTAGTTTTCTGAGCTGGCAAGCATGGAGGAGTTAAGAGGAGAAGAAATTTTAGGCAAAGGCACAGTCATCTGTGCACTGGGTTGAGAGAACCCTGCAGCAAACTCTGCCTGAACTGGCAACTCATCTCCAGCAAGACAGGGCACAAATAAAGCAGCTGGCCCTCGCTCCAACACTGTGCAACGGTGGGATGTCCCTGGATAGCTTGCTCTGGTTTTGTTAGCTCATCCTCAACCACAGTTTTTAATCCAGGAGAAAAAAAAAAGGCTGAGCCCTGACTCTGGCAGAGCATTCTCAGCTCTGTGCATGAGAACTGCAGCACCCAGGGAGCTTAAACAAAGAACCCCAAGGCAGTCCCAGCCTGAACCACTGGGAACAGTGCCATCCTCCTCAGACAGGAGATGGTTATTTGGAAATGTAATTTCCGAGGTCACCTTTCATCATCCAGGCAAACTGTGTGAGCAGCACAGAGCACAGGCACTGTTTTGCTGAGCTGAAGGCAGCGCAGGGACTTCCCACAGGGCACCGTCAGTCTCTGATGTGGGTTCTGCACTACGTTTGGCACCATGAGCCATTTCCCCGGCCCTGTATTGCAGGGCACTGCATGTCTACCTGGTTATAAATAATTTGTAGCACTACTGAGCAGGAATTAATGACTTTTCTAATTATACCACATCAGTTGGTGACAGTGGGCTTAGCATTCCGAGCCCACTCTGCGTTGCTGTCTGCAGAACATACCTGTGCATCACCTCGTAGATCCAAGGAATCTCAAGTCAGAAGAGCAGCAGATGAAGAAGGACGTGCTTTAGTATTAAAGGGGACATCAGGAATCCATTCCTGCTCTAAGTTAACGAAAAGGAACCTTAACAGCTTTGAGAGGCACCTCAGAGCTGTGCTCCCACAAACATCATCTGTGATTCTTTCCATCTCACATGGCTCTCTCTGCATATGCAGGAGAGCTGTTCCATATCAGCTTCCCAATTAACCCTAGGGTTTAAATTGGCCTTCCTTGTTTACAAGGCAGCTGCTCGCTTTGACCTCCTGGAAAGGAGCATTTTCCACATCTTGCACTGCCACAACTGATCCCCGTGCTGCTGCACAACTGCTCACATTTCAGCAGCTCACAGCAGATGCTGCATTTCTCTGCAAGAGCTATCAGAAGGGAAGGGATCAGGCAAGTTATTTTGTCCAGCCATCTGGAAACAATACAAGGCAATCCTTGCAACACAGATCCTGGTCTTTGTCAGGTTTCATTTAAGGCCTCCCAGGATAACAATTCTATCAGCTCCACAGGCAGCACCTTGGGCTGCTCTGTTAGGGATGGGGACCAGAGCCATAGGAGTGGCTTTCCAGCTGATGACTTACATCTCCTCCAGCCAAAGCGACCCGACACGAGGAAACAACCAACCTCTGTTTCGTTGCCAAGGTTTCTCATTTTTATGTCTGAGGATGTATATTTATTTATAGTGCCCCATGCTATCAAAAAAGAGCAAAGGGAACAGCAGATAAGACAGCCCAGCAGAATTGTTTCTCAACAACAAAATGTTTTTCACTGTTTCCACGAGGCATCAGCAGCTCTTTAAAGTCTTTTTTATTACATTTCTGCATTGGAATCAAAACCGTATTTCAAAGGCGCTTTCACTTTGAAGAACAAAATGCAGATTCTGTTCCACGCCACCTGCAAACAGCAGAGCCGTGACCCACATTAGGAGCTTCCCACAGAGGAGGGAGCTCCAGGGATGAGAGATGTCCATTTAAAACACTTTAAAAATAAAAGGTCATGGGGAAATTGCTGCCTCCCTAATTATAGCCGTTGCTCTCGTGTTACACGGCCACAACTCGGGTTCCTAATTTAAATTATCATCAAGCCTTGCTGCAGGCCTGGAGCTTAATGAATTTTGCTCTCCGAGAGATTAAGAGCACATTCGTATCAGAGACAGCTGAGGAAAAACAACACAAGAAGCTAAATAAGGAGCAAAATCACAGCACATCCCCAGGCTGCCCTCCCTTTTTCACAGGGTCTTGGATTGATACACGATGCCCACGCAACGTGCTTTTTTTTTTTTTTGCTTTTTTTTTTTTCCTTTCCCCATTTTATTTCAGTATTTGCATTTGTGGCTGCCCTGAGGAGCAGCTTAGAACCCAGCTTAGAGCTTAGAGCCCAGCCTAGAACTTAGAGCTCAGAGCTTAGATCTCAGCCTAGAGCTTAGATCTCAGCCCAGAGCTTAGAGCCCAGAGCTTAGATCTCAGCCCAGAGCTTAGATCTCAGCCCAGAGCTTAGAGCCCAGAGCTTAGATCTCAGCCTAGAGCCCAGCTTAGAGCTTAGATCCCACCCTAGAGCTTAGAGCCCAGAGCTTAGATCTCAGCCCAGAGCTTAGAGCCCAGCCTAGAGCTTAGAGCTCAAAGCCCAGCCCAGAGCCCAGCTTACAGCTTAGATCCCATCCTAGAGCTTAGAGCATAGCCTAGAGCTTAGAGCCCAGAGCTTAGATCCCATCCTAGAACTTAGAGCCCAGAGCTTAGAGCCCATCCTAGAGCTTAGAGCCCAGAGCTTAGAGCCCAGAGCTTAGATCTCAGCCTAGAGCTTAGAGCCCAGAGCTTAGATCTCAGCCTAGAGCTTAGAGCCCAAAGCTTAGATCCCATCCTAGAGCTTAGAGCCCAGAGCTTAGATCTCAGCCTAGAGCTGAGAGCCCAGAGCTTAGATCTCAGCCTGGCTGTGCCACAGAGGCACCATCCGACCTGAGCTGGGATGGAGCCTCCAACTGCTGCACCTCGTGCAGCCAAACAGGACGTGTGCAAATCTCAGAAGCAGCACCGCAGCGCTCTCAGCATAAATCCTTTTAGACGTGATCACTTAGAGCTTGCAAAGAGCTGCTTCGAGCGTTTGGACTTCAGGATGCAAAAATTCAGGCGAATTCATCTTGCAGATCTTCTCTCAGCGTTTGCAATGTGAAAAAAAAAATAAAATAAGGTCCAGAGCTGAGGAAAGAACGACTGTAGGAGCAGCGGAGCGGGGCTGAACGCGGCCGTTCGTGGACCAACGGCGACACCGCGCGGCTCCCGGAACGTCGGGCGTCGGACCGGGCGGCACCGGGAGCGGCGGAACCAGGCCGTAGGGCCGGGCTGTGAGCGCTGCCCCCACCGCACCGAACAGGGATGCAGCGCGGGTGAAACCTCCTCCCGCATCGATTCAGCCCTGGATCCGCGGCAGAGCTGAAAGCAGCAGCAGATCGAGGGTTTGTGGCTCTCTGAGAGACGCGGCGGTGCTTTACTAAGGATGGACTGAAGACATTTCACTCGACTGACACTGACCTTCACGTTTTGCATGCTGCTGTTCCCATCTCCCTTTAACTGACTCATGAAATTGCAGACAATTTGGCTTGCAGGCTGTAATCTGATATTTGCACTTAAGTGACTCCTTGAAAGGGTAGATAATAGCAGGACAAGGGGAAATGGTTTGAAGTTGAGAGAGGGGAGATTGAGCTTGGATGTCAGGGGGAAATTCTTTACTGAGAGACCGGTGAGGGGCTGAACAGCTGCCAGAGAGGCCATGGATGCCCCGTCCATCCCTGGAGGTGTTCAAGGCCAGGTTGGATGGGGCCCTGGGCAGCCTGGGCTGGTGTGAAATGTGGAGGTTGGTGGCCCTGTGTGTGGCAGGGAGTTGGAGCTCCATGATCCTTGAGGTCCCTTCCTGGCCATTCTGTGATTCTGTGACACAGTTGACCTGTCCAAACCCTGCCTATTCATGTGTTGAGATGCTCATCAAAGAGCCAGACCTCTGCATCCCAGTTATTCTTCCAGAAAGAGCAGAGATGTGTAACATGGGGAAGGACAGCTGTGGGCCAACTGAGTGAGCAGGCAATGACCTCCTTTCTAGAAGGAC